GGGGGGTCCGTGCCCGGGGGAACAAAGGAGCTGCGGGGCCGCGGGCGGAGGAGCGGAGCGGAGCGCGGCGGAGGAGGCGGGGGGGCGCGGGGGGGGTACCTTCAGCGAGCGCGTCCCGCGGCTTCTGGAAACTTTCCCGGGACTGCGGGGGCCGCTCCGCCTGCGGGGCAGCGGGGGGGGCGCGGTGAGGGCCGCGGGGGGGGCCGGGGCCGCCCTCCCGCCCGCCGGGGCCCGGCCTCACCTCGGCGTCGGGGCCGCCCGGGGCGGCGGCGCGGCCCTCGGTCTCGCTGACCAGCGAGGACTTGAGCTCGTCCAGGTCCCCGTGGGCCGAGCCGCGCCCCGCGCCCTTGTCCTGCTCCTCGCCCTCGTCCTGGAAGGCGATCAGCTCGTCCGGAGCCCCCAGGTCGTCCCCCGCCGCCGGCTCCAGCTGCGGCATCGCGGCCCCCGCCCCGCGCCGCGCTCCGGCCCCGCGCCGCCGCCGCCGCCGCCGCCCGGAGGGTCGGGAATGCGCGGGGCGGCGGGGAGGGGCGGGCTGCAAGGCGACACCGCGGGCCGGGCCGGCGGGGCAGGGCAGGGCAGGGCAGGGCAGGGCCGGGCCCGGTGCCGCCCCGGGCGCCGCCGCTCCCTCCCGCGATCCCGGCCGCGGGCTCCCGGCGCTCCTCGGCTCGCGCCGCCCCGTCCCGCCGGGTCCTCCCCTTCCATTCGGGCTGCCCCCGTCCCGCCGCGGGGGCTCCGGCTCACCTGGCTCCCCGCGTCCCGCCCGCGGCCCCCCCCCCCCGTCCTTGCGGCATCTCTCCGTCCTGTCCGGGGTGCCCCCGACCCGTCCGAGGCGCTGCACCCCGGCCGGGGTCCCCGAAGTTCAGTCTGGGTTCCCACGTCTCGCCTGGGCCGCTCCGCCACATCTGGGTGCCCGCATCCCACCGGGGGTTCCCCGCATCCCGTCCGTGGTCCCCCGTCCCTTACAGGATCGCTCTGTCCCATCCGGGTGTCCCTGTCCTACCCGAGGCCCCGCACCCCGTTCGGATCCCTGCACCTCAGCTGGCTCCCCGCATCCTGTCCGGAGTTCCCCCCTACCCCCCGGGGTCCCCTCATCCCACGCAGGGCCCCCATCCCACCCCTTACTTGGGTCCCCACGTCTCATCTGGGTCCCCCCAAACCTTCCATAGGGCTACACCCCTCCTGGTTCCCCCCCATTCCATCCTCCCATCTTGGTCAGGGTGCACCAACACCTCTGGCTCTCCCCATTCCATCCAGGTTCCACCCCCCCTCACCCCCCTCCTCAGGGTACCCTCTCCCTGTTCAGATGCTCGAATGCCACCACTAAGATGCCACTGTCTCACCCAAGGGTGCTCCCACCCCACCAGCACCTCCCTGTCCTGCCTTCATCCCCCATAGGGTGCCCCAGTCCTGTCTGGGTGCCCCGCACCCCTGCTATCCCCATCCCACAGATGTGTCCCATCACACCCAAGTGTCAGCAAACCGCCCAGGTGTTTGCTCTCAATCTCACCAGGATGTCCCCATCCCAATGTGTTGCTCAGGGGGATTCCCACCCCACCAGGACTCCCCCATCACAGTGGGGTGCTCGTGGGATCCCCAGCCTGCCCCACACTGAGCAGGGTCCCCGTGCAGCCCCAGGCTGCCCCATAGGACAGGACCCCACTGACAAACCCCATTCTTTCAGCACTGAGTCGCCCACCCCCTCCAACCCTCTGGGCCCCCTCATGCCGCCCCACAAAGGACCCTTTGCCTGAAATCCCCCATGAAAAGGCTTTTGTGGCACAGAACTCAGCAGTGACCCCGAGGAGCAGCTGCGGGGTGCTGCACTGCCCAGGCATTCCCCTTCCAGATGTTTTATGGCCCTGCTTTTAATTAACTTTCCCATTAATTGGCTGCTGGCAGTGCTCACAGCTGCGGTGTGCGGTGGGGGCGGTGGGCGTCCTCCCCATCCCACCCAGGGTCACCCCAACCCATTGGGGAGCTCTGTCCCTGGGAGACGCACCCCCAAAATGCCGATTTGGGGGTGTTTGAAGGCAGCTCCTCGTAAGAAGGGACACATGGAGGACCGGGGGGGTCCCAGGGTGTCCCACAGTCCCATTGTCCCCAGGGGTCCCATGGTGGCTGGGGGTCCTGGGGACTCAGAGTGCTCAGGGGGCCCATGGCATCCACGGGTCCTGGGGGTGCGCCAGGCTAGCTGGGGGTCCCAGGGTCACAGGGAGGCTGGGGGAGTGCTAGGGGTGACAGGGGTGCCCAGGGTCATCTGGGTGGGAGGGCTGGGCTGCCCGAGGGTCCCACTGTCCCATGGTATCCATTGTCCTGGAGACAACCAGGTCTGTCTGGGGGCCCCATGGTGCTCATATGGGGGGTTGGGGTCTAAAGCTCCTGGTGTCCCAGGGTGTCTGGGGGTCTCAGGTGTTCATGGGTCCCAATGCGCCCGGGGTGCTCTCAGGTCCTGCGGGTGGCTCAGGGTGTTCGCAGGGGCCCCGTGCCGCGGGGGGGGGGAGGGCGGGGAGATGCACAGCGCGCCCGAGGGTCCCAATGTACCCAGGGGTCCCACGGTGTCTGGGAGGTCCCGCGTCCCCAAAGTCCCCGCGGTGGCCATGTGATGCTGGAGGCCCCGAGGGAACAGGGGGAGGAGGGGGGGGAAAGGAGGGGGTGACATCACCGTGCGCCCGTTCTGCGCAGGGCGCGGGACGAGCCGCGAATGGGCCATCAGCGCGCGCCCGCGGCCATGAGCGTGGGGGCGGGGCCTAACGGGGCGTGGTCACATCGAAGGGGCGTGGTTATATCGAGGGGCGTGGTCACCCAAAAGGGGGCGTGGTCAAAGAAAAAGGCGTGGCGCGGCCGGCTCGAAGGCGGCCCCCCGTGAGGGGCGGGGCTTGGATGGGGCGGGGCTTGGATGGGGCGTGGGCGGGGCGTGGCGGGATCCGGCGCTGCCATGGCGCTGAACCTCAGCAAGAACGGGCGGGCGCTGCAGGAGGCCTACGGGAGGGTCGTGGCGGCCGGCAGCCCCACCGACTGGTGGGCAGGGGGCGGGAGCGGAGATGGGGTGAACGGGGGGTGAACGGGGGGTGTCCGGGGGTGGAAAAATGGAAGGAGGATTTGGGGGCTGTTGGGGATTTTGAGGGGTGTTTGGGGCTGGGGGGGCGTTGGGTGGGGGGCGGACGGAGGAGTGGGAGGGCTGGAGGTGGGGGTGCAGTGTGGGGTGATGGGGGGCTGGGGTGTGGAGTGCGGGAGGGTGAGGGACTGGGAGGGCCGTGGGGCGCACGGGGGGGATTCAGGGTGTGGGGTGCCCAGAGATCGGGGTCTGGGGGTCTGCGCGGTGCGGGCGGTTTGGAGCGTGGGGCTCATTGGATGCCTGGGGGTCGGGGCTCGGGACGTGTGTGTGTGGGGCTTTGGGGGTGGGGGCCGTGACTCAGCCCCCCCCCCTCCTATCCCACAGGGCTCTGTTCACCTATGAAGGCAACAGCAACGACCTGCGCGTGGCCGGCAGCGGGGGTGAGCGGGGCCCCCAGCACTGAGCGCCTTGCTCGGAAATGGGGAAGCGGTGCCGGCCCGGCCCGCCCCCTCCGCCCCATAACTCCTTTCGGTTGCTCGGGAGGTTGGAGCCCCGTTCCTGCAGTGTGGGGGGGGTCTGGATTTGGGGCTGGTCGTTGTGACACCACCGCCTTCGCTTTGGGGACGTTTCTGGGGAACGGTTTGGGGATGAGAGCGCGTTCTTGTGGGTTTCCTCACTCCTGAGTGGTTCCCGTGCACGCGGTGCTGGGGGGATGCTGGGAATTGTGGGCATCGCCCGGTGCCACCTGCGCTCCCTGCGGCCCTGGGGACACCAAGGGATGGGCAGGACGTGGCCAATGTCCCCTGGCCCAGCCCTGCTCCTGTCCCGGCGCAGAGGGCGGCCTGGAGGAGATGGTGGAGGAGCTGAACAGCGGCAAGGTGATGTACGCCTTCTGCAGGGTGAAGGACCCCAACTCCGGCCTGCCCAAATACGTCCTCGTCAACTGGGTGAGCTGGGATGGGGCCGTGTGGGACATCCCAAATCAAAGGGGTGGAAAGGAGCTGCTGGGCTGGGGCTCATGGCGCCGTTGCTCTCCCATTGCTCTCCCATTGCTCTCCCATTGCTCTTCCATTGGTTCGCCATTGGTTCTTCATTGCTCTTCCATTGCTCATCCATTGCCCCTCTGCTGGTTTGCCACTGCTTTCCATGCAGACGGGTGAAGGCGTCAATGATGTGCGGAAAGGAGCCTGTGCCAACCACGTCAGCACTGTTGCCAGCTTCCTGAAGGTTTGCTTGGCTCCTGCTGTCCCCATTCTGTCCCCTGTGGAAGCCACTTTGGTGCTACCCCGAGCCCGATGTCCCCATGCAGGGTGCCCACGTCACCATCAATGCTCGAGCGGAGGAGGATGTGGAGCCTGAGCTCATCATGCAGAAGGTGGCCAAGGCCTCGGGGGCCAACTACAGCTTCCACAAAGAGAGCAGCCGCTTCCAGGACGCCGGGCCACAGGGCCCCGTGGTGAGTCTGGGCTGGGGTGGTGCTGGGGTGACAGAGGAGATGGGAGATAGTTTGATGCTGGTGTTGGTACCACGGGGTGGGACTGCGGTGCCTTTTGCTGCCGGGTGGGTCCTGTGGGGTGGGTCCCTGTCCAGCAGGACCTACAGGGAGGTAGAAACAAGATATAGAGCAACTTTTTGTGTGGTCAGTTGGAGCTGGGATGCGGGGAATGATGGGCTGTGAGGTCCCTTCCAACCAACCTGCTGCGATCCCTACCGGAGGCAGCACAAAGCAGTGGGGTCAGCGCATTTCTGCAAGGGGATGCAAAAGAGTCATTTGTGCAGCACTGCACTGACCCCACCGCTGTCCGCCCCGCGCAGGGCTCCGTCTACCAGAAAACCAACGCCATGTCTGAAATCAAGCGGGTCAACAAGGACCACTTCTGGGCCAAAGCCGAGGTGAGGGCTGCAGTGCAGCACTGTGGGCTGCATGGTGCAGCACGGTGGGGCTGAGGCAGTGCCTGCACCCAACAGAAGGACGAGGAGAACCGGCGCCTGGAGGAGAAGCGGCGTGCGGAGGAGGAGCGGCAGCAGCTGGAGCGTGAGCGGCGTGAGAGGGAGCTGCAGGAGGCAGCGGGGAGAGAGCAGAGGTTCCAGGCACGCTCCAGCCAGATCGAGGCCCAGAAGTGAGTCCTGAGCACCTCCAGCCCCTTGTCACCCCTTGTCATCCCTTCTCTCCCTTCATCACCTCCCGTCTCCCCGCAGGAGGCTGCAGCAGGAGGCGGAGAGGCGGGAGCAGCAGCAGTGGGTGAGCATCGTGCCGCCCCTGGGGCTTTTGGGGTGCAGGTGTCCCCTTTGCTCATCCCCTGCTTTGGAGTCCACGCAGTGGTGCTGTCACTGTCCTCTCTGGTGCCACAGAAGGAGCAGCAGGCAGAAGAGCATGAGGCTGGGCAGCGCCGCAGCGTCCGGAGGAGCGAATCAGTGGAGAAAGCCCAGGTGAGACCACAGCCCCAAAGCCCCACAGCCGGGGGTTCCCCCAGTGGACCCCCCCTGAGCCCTGCTCCACGCGCAGGAGGCGGCATCACTGATTGCACAGCGCGCGGGGAACCCGCGGGACATCTTTGTGCAGAGGGAGCGGGCGGCACCCGGGGACACTGCAGCCACTGCACCACCAGGTGAGGGTCTTGGGGGGGGGGAGGGAGGGGGATGTGGGCACCCAGTCCCAGCCAGGGGAGGGTCTGCAGGCAGTGACCCCGTGAGCAGCTCAGCTTGGTGCTGCTCACATCCCATTGCTTTGCGTGGGTGCACTGCATGTTGGTGGGAATGCTGCTTGAGCACCGGGATTGGTTTGGGGGCAGGCAGTGCCCTCATGGGGGCTGACAGCTTTTCGGTGGGTTTCCAAAGTGAGGAAGGAGGGCAGTGCCTGTCTGTGCCCAAAACCACCTCTGGCTGCAGGCAACCCCCCCTGAGCTCCCCATTCTCTCTTCCAGGCAAACTGCGCAGCCCATTCCTGCAGCGGGAGCAGGATGCCGTGCCGACCCCCACCCCCCCCATCCCGGACCCATCCCCAGTGCCAGCTGCAGGTGTGTGGTGTGTAGCCCCCACCCCCCCCCCACCATGCTGCCTGGTTCCATTCTGGAACCCGGTCTCCTCCTGGAGATCTCCAGGGTGGGAGCAGCTGGGTGGGAGCAGCAGGACCCGGAGGTGCTCACAACCTCACTGTGACTTCGTGACCCCTTGGGCTGCACGCACCCCCCCCCCCGGCAGCACGGTGCCGTGGGGCTGCGCTCACCACTAGATGCTGCTGTCGGCCAAGCTCCAGCACAGCCCTTCCCACCAGCATCGCTGTCTGTGGTGTTTTAGGCAATGACTCACGTTGAGCACGAGCTCCCCCCTTCCCCCCCCAAATAAAAAACACCGCTCGGGGCTCTGTGACCCCCCGTTGTGGGTGGAGCACTATGGCTGAGCTGCCACCGTTCCCCCTGCAGGGCACAACGTTAGCCCCATGGGAACCCACACGGATGGGGAGAACGTGTATGAGGATGCAGCTGACAGTGCGGCCATCTACGAGGAACCCCCGCAGGTTGGCCTGTGCCTCTGCTTTCAGGGTCCAGCTTTATGGGGGTGCACCCCCTCTGGGTGCTTCTGCTGCCCTCTGCCCACATTGGGTTTGCTGCACCCCCCTCAATACCCCCTGTTCCCTTCCCAGGACCATGATGATGGAGCTCAGTACCAGTACCCGGGTGGGTACCAGCAGGATCCCGAGCTGGCAGGGAAGGGGCTGTGTGCCAGAGCACTCTACGACTACCAGGCGGGTATGGGGGGGATCCCTGAACTGGGGGGATTTTCTCTGAAATAGGGGGGGTGGCTCCTCCAGAATGGAAGGGTTCTCCAAAACGGGGCGGCTCCTCTGAAACTCGGGAGGTTCCTCCCAGTATAGCAGCGCTGCCCCAGAAGTGGGAGGATGCCCCCAAAATTAGGAGGGTGTCCTCTGAAATGGGGGGCGTTCCTGCAAAATGAAGGGTTTCCTCTGAAATGAGGGGTGGGGGTTCCTATGGACTAGGTGGGCTCCTCCAAAATGAGGGGGTTCTACTGGATGAGAGGGTTCCTCTGAAATGGGAGGAGGTCCTCAAAAGAGGGGATTTCTTCTGAAATGGAAATGGGCAGAGCGAGGGGGGAGGTCCTCCAGAATTGGGGAAAGCTCTCTGAAATAGGGGAGCTTCCTCCAAAAGGTTCCTCCAGTAAGAGGAGGGGGCCCTCTGAAATGGGGTGACCTCCAGAATGAGGGTTCCCTCTGAAATGGAATTCTCCTTCAGAGGAGGGAGGGGAGTCCTCTGAAATGAGGGAGGGTCCTCTGGAACCGGAGGGAAGGCTCTGAAATAGGGAAGGTTCCCCCAAGATGGGTGCGTGGGCTCCTCCAGAAAGAGGAGAGATCCCTCCTGTATGGAAGGGGTCTCTCCTAAATGGAGGGGGTTCTCCCAGAACGGGGGGCCCAGGGGTTCCCCTGCTTTGTCCCACGTTCCCCTCTCCCTCCCCTCCCAGCGGACGACACTGAGATCTCCTTTGACCCCGAGAACATCATCACCAACATTGAGATGATCGACGAGGGATGGTGGCGGGGCTACGGCCCTGATGGCCACTTCGGGATGTTCCCTGCCAACTACGTGGAGCTGCTCGACTGAGGTCAGTGGGGCGGGCGGCGCCCAGACCCCCCCACCAGCACTGGTTCTTCCGAGCAGCGCCAGCTTCCTGCCTTCCTGCCCCCTCCCCCAGCACCGTGCTGTGCCCCCCCCGAGCTCCCAGCGCTCTCTGGGGGGCGATGGCAGCACCCTGCCATGACCCCCCCCCCTCAAGCTGTGAGTGCTGCCTGCCCCATTCACTGTGAAGGAGGAAGAGCGCAGTGCAGCGGCGGCCTTCCTCCCCCCCCGGTTTGCTTTGGGATCAAGGACGCGGCGGCTGTTGGCCACGGGTCAATAAAAGGGCTTTCTTTGGTGTCAGGATCCTGTGGGGTTCCCTACTCTGTGTGCCCCCACCTGCAGCCCCTGGCTGAGGGTTTCTCTGCACCACTGATGGCGTTTCGGTGCTGCGCCGGCACAGAGCGGCTTTCTAACAGCTGCCAGCACTGATGAGGAACCCTTAATTAAGAGGAAGCTGAACGGGATGTGTTCTGCAATGGGTCAGAAACCGCAGCCAGGCTTGGCGGCATTGTTGGGGGGGGAGGAAGGGGTGAGGAGAAGTTAATTAGCACAGGCGGGGTGGGTGGCACCAGGGGTGCTCAGGCTGCAGTGCCCCCCTGCCTCCCAGTTACCTCAGCACCCATGGGTGCTGCCAGGCCACCTTGCCCCATGGCTGCTGTCCGCCCCATGCTGTCCCCAGCCTTACGTCCTTTGTCTCCAGGGCTGCAGTGTGGCACAGGGTTCACATCATGCCTTTATTTGTGCAGTGTGGGGGTGGCGTGTGGGCACAGCAGTGACGGCAGGGACGTGGCACAGCAGTGTGGGCTTGGGGATGGCGTGTGCTGGGGCATGGGGGTGGCCCTGAGAAGGGGTGGCATGGAATGGGGCTGGAGAGGGAGGTGGCATGGGGATGGCATGGCCATGCAGGTGGCATGGATGTGGAGAGGGAAATGGCACGGGGTCCGAGAATGGTGGCATGGGGGGTAGCATGGGGACAGCATGGGCATGGAGATGGTGGGGGCCTGGGGTCAGCATGGCCTTGGAGATGGCACTGGGGACAGCATGGGCATGGAGATGGATCCAGGAAAGATGGGTGTGGGGATGGCATGGGCTCAAGGACAGCAAGGGATGGGGCACAGGGTTGGTACTGGGATGGGATGCCACAGAAATGGGGCTGGAGATAGAGGTGGCAGTGGGGTGGGGTGGGGATGATGTGGGCATGGAGATGGCGTGGACTTGGAGACAGAGATGACGTGGGGGTGGAGTGACCTTGTAGATGGCATGGGTTTAAAGAGAGGTAGCATGGGGATGGCACGGCCCTGGATATGGTAAAGGTGGGGTGATGGCGCAGGGCTGGGTTGGGCTTGGAGCCGGCACAGGGATGGAGGTGTCGTGGGGAATATGGTGGGTGTGGGAATAGCCTGTCCCTGTCCTGCCCTGTCCCCACGGTGCCCCCTCACTTCCAACCGCTGAAGAACTGCTTGAAGAGGGGCGTCTCGCGGCCCTGCGGCAGGATTTCCACCTGCGGGACGGCGATGGGGACACGATGGGGATGGGAGGACGTGGCCCATGCCCCCCAGCCCACCTCCACCCACCTGTGTGTGGGGCGAGTAGCCCATGCGGGTGATGGTCTGCTCGGCCACGCTGAGGGCCGCCTGCCGCTCCTGCTCGTTGGCTTTGCGCCCTGCGGATGGGGACGTCAGCACTGGACGGGGGGTGGCCCTGCTCCCTGCCCCATCCCCATCCCCAGGCACCTTTCCACACGTAGATCTTCCCCCTGGCGCCCGTGTCCAGCACGAAGCAGTCGTCAGGGCACAACAGGCTCTGGTTGAAGGGGCAGCTCCGGGCCACTTCGCTCAGGTCCATGTGCCCCATCGCATCTGACACCTGGGATGGTCACCATGTCACTCCATCCCACAGCCAGCACCAGCCCTTTGTCCCTGCTGCGACCGCCTTGGTGCCCCTCGCCTTGCCCAGCCCTGTGGCCAGCACAGCCCAAAGGGTCCTACAATCACCTATGTTGGGAAAGACCTTCACATCACCAAGTCCGACCACCAACCTGACCCTTAGTGCCATGTCCACGCATCCCTTATGTACCCACAATGAAGCCCTGGGTGCCCCAGGCCAGGCTGGACAGAGCTTTGGGCAACCTGACCCACTGCAGGGCAACCGGTGCCCAGCCCCACGCATCCCTCGTGCCTTGCCTTGTAGAGAACGGCCATCCCCGCGTTCCGATCGGCCGCTGCATCCTCCTCAGGGCTGCCCTCTGTCAAGGTGGGCTTTGGGCCCAGCACCTGCAGCATCTCGGGGGGCTCCTCGCCATCCACCACCATCTCCAGGCACGCTTTGCCACCCCGCTCGCTGTCACGGATGGCTGCAGCCAGCTCCTGTGCCCGGCTGCGCTCCAGGACGTTGCTCCGTGCCCCGCACCACGTGAAGATGGTCTGGGGACAAGGATGGCAACCTGTGTCCATGGTCACCCGAAGGGATGTGTGCCCTGATGGATGGATGGATGCACATCCGGAAGGACAAGTAGACATTGCAACAGATGGACACCCAAAAAGATGGGTGAAGAGCTCCGTGGAAGGACAGACAGACACCCAGAAGGACCGCTGGACACCCAGAAAGCCAAACACCCCTATGGGCTCATGGATGTTTTGACAGACAGATATCCCATCAGAGGGACATCCAGAAGGACAGACAGACATCCCGGAAGATGGACTCCCAAACGGACAGGTGAACATGTGGGAAAACAGTCAGATGATGCTACGGACAGATGGATGCTTTGACAGATGGACACCCCAACAGATGGACACCCAGAAAGGCGGGTGGAGAATCCAACAGAGCAATACCCGGAACAAACAGACACCCAGGAGAGCTGAACACCCAGATGGACAGCTGGACACCCCTATGGACAGATGGATGCTTGACAGACAGACAGACACCCCACAGATGGACACCCAGCGGGACAGCCAGCCTGCCCTACAGGTGGAGAGCTGCTCTGATGACCATAAGGACACCCCAACGGACAGATGGACACCCAGGCAGACACACCGCACTTCCTGCACCAAGCAAAGGATCTGGGGGACAGGGAAGGGACGGCAGTGACGCGGCCACACACCTCTCCCAGGTCCAGGATGAAGCAGTCGCCGGTGTTGAAGCTGGCCCAGCTGAGGTCCCGCTCCGTGGCCCGGATGTTCCTGCGGCCCTTCACCTGGTACAGCCGGCGCACGGGGCCGGGGCCGGTGCTGCACCGCGCCGACTTGAAGGCCGAGTCCACGCCGCCCTCCTGCCGGCACCGCGTGCTGAGCGCCCAGCGGGGACACTGACCCACGGCCGGCACCCATCGGCCGTGCCCAGCCCCCATCAGGGTCACCCAAGAGCCCGTTGGTGATGCCCAAATCCCATTAGGGTTACCCAGCGGCCCATTGGTGATGCCCAGCTCCCACCAAGTTTACCCAAGCACCTCCTGGTGATGCTCATCGCCCATTGGTGATGCCCAGCTCCCGTTAGGGTTACCCAGTGGCCCATTGGTGACGCTCATCGCCCAATGGCAATGCCCAGTGCCCATTAGGGTTACCCCTAATGAATGCTCATCGCTGATTGGTGATGCCCAGCCCCACACCTGGTAGGTGATGCCGCGGGGGAAGTAGCCCATAAACTCATCGGACTCGTGGCCCTGCGCCTCGCGGTGGGTGACAGGGCGCTCGCCCAGCAGCGCGTTCAGCTGGGTGCTCAGCAGGGCGCAGCCCCCCCGCTCATCCTGTGACGCCTCCCGACCTGCGGTGGGCAATGACAGCTCAGCGGGACCCCGCATCCCCCCCCATCGCCCCATCGCCCCATGCTCACCAATCCAGAGGTGCAGGTGGGCTCGCTCCTCAGGCCCCAGGTGCAGCACCAGATAGGCGTCCCCCGAAAAGAAGACACCCCAAGAGCTCTCGGGGACTGGCACCGGGTGCAGCTTCTCCACGCGCCAGATGTGCAGCCCAGGGCGTGTGGGCGCAGGGCCGAAGGGGGAACCGCTGCAGGGAGAGGGGCGTTGGCGAGGGGTCTTTGGGGTTATAGGATGGGGGGAGGTTTTGGAGGGTGTGGGACCTTTTGGGGAGGGCCGTGTACATGGTGTCGGGAAGGCGGTGGACAGATGGAGAGACAGCTGGAAAGACAGGTCGGCACCCCAAGAGGGAGATGGATACCCTGATGGACAGAAAGACAGACAGAAGCGTGGTCAGACCCCCAGCACAGACACCCTACGGAGAGATGGATGCTCCAACAGACATACGGACACCATCCCCCAACAGACACCCCAATGGACAGATGGACACCTCAACGGACAGATGGACACAACCCCCACCACAGACACTCCAACAGACAGACAGACACTCCAAAGAACAGATGGACACCCCAATGAATGGACGCTTGGACAGACAGACACCCACCCCTGTGAGTCACACAGACAGATGGACACCTGGAAGCACAGACAAACACAGCAGGAAAAGAACAGATGGACACCCTGACTTGCTGGACACCCCAAATGACAGACAGCCACGTGAACGGACAGACAGGAGGACACCCAGACGGACACCCAGACAAACAGGCGGACGCCCCAACAGCCGCGGGACACCCGGAAGCAACAGTCAGATGCCGCTGACTCAAGCAGGAAAGGGTGTGGACGCCGGGGGGGGCTAGGGGGGGGCGGGCCTGTCCCTGCTTGTCCCCCCCACCCTGAGCACGTGGCCACGGGGGGGCTGCTGGCATGCGACCCCCAGCCGGGAGTGGTGTCACATGGGGTTCTTGGGGGTCCTGGAGCCTTGCTGGCTGGGGGGGTTATGGGGATGTGCAGGAGGGGGGGTTGTGTGGGAATTATAATTGGGGGGTGGGGAGCAGCACTGGGAGTCATAGTGGAGGGGTATGTCCTGTATTGGGATTGCTGGATGGGGCGACTGGAAGCGTGTGGGGGGGCTGTACTGATACTGGGGGGGGGCAGCACTGGGGGGACCGGGAACATCGGGGGGACTGGGGAGTGTTGGGTGAACTGGGGGCACTGGGAAGTTACTGGGAGGAACTGGGAAGCTGTGGTCGCCACAGGGCAGCCCCCCTCGCCGGCCACCCCCGCCGCGGCGTGTCTGGGCGCTGAGTCACAGCCGGGCTGGGGGCCACGCGTGTGACGAGCGCGGGGGGGCTCAGCCACGTGGCTCGGCCTCCGTGGGGCCCGGGGAGCCTGCGGGGCCTGGTGGAGGGACTGGGGGAGCGGGATGGGGACAGCGGGGGTGACCCCAATGCTGGGCGGCGGCCACGGGTGGTCCTGAGCCCCGTGCCAATGCAGGGACAGAGCTGTGCCCGTTCCGTGCAGCGCTGGTGCCAGGGAGAGCCGGTCCTGAGCAGCGTGGGTGCAGCAGGGAGCGCTGGGGCTGTGCTGTGCTGTGCTGCTGCCCTGCAACGCCATGCAGCACCAACGCAATGGAGCATGATGGCAGTGCAGTGCTGTGCAGTGCCAAATGCAGTGTTGCACCCTTGCAGTGCCAGTGCAATGCCAGTGCAATGCCAATACAATGCAAATGCAATGCCAGTGCAATGCGTATGCAACACCAATGCAATGCCAGTGCAATGCAAATGCAACACCAATGCAGTGCCAGTTCAACACCAATGCAATGCCAGTGCAGTGGCAGTGTGTTGTGAGTGCGATATCAGTGCGATATCAGTGCGATGCCATCGCAGCTCCGTCCCACGCCATCAGTACCGCTCCGGCCCGCGCCGGTCCCCCCGCAGGGCGGTGCCCCCCCCCCCCCCCCCCCCCATCCCATCCCATCCCGTCCCGTCCCGTCCCGCTCCGCCCGGTGCCGCTCCGCCATGCCGCCCCGCTCCGCCGCTTTGCTCCCGCTGCTGCTGCTGCTCCCGCTGCTGCCCGGGGCCGGGCCGGGCCCCGCATCTCCCGCACTGACGGACGCGGAGATCGAAGAGTTCCTGCGCGGTTTCCTGGCGCCCGGAGACGGCGTTGCGGGAGGGGATGGCAGCGATGTGCGGCTCGGAGCTCAGCCCGGGACCGGCGGGGAGCGGGGAGCGGGGAACGGCGGTGAGTGCGGGGGGGGGGGGGGGGGGATGGAATGGGGGCCGTGGGGTGGGAAGGGGGGACTGGGGGGAGGGTGAAGGGGTGGGAGGCACTGGGATGGGGGTCGTGGGCTGGGAGTAATGGGGTTGAGGGAGCTGGGAAAGTGGTAATGGGATGGGGATAATGGAGTGGGAATGGGGGACTGGGGAGAGAGGGGCTGGGATGGGGAGGGGGAAATGGGATGGACGGAGTTGAGAGTGGTAATAGGATGAGGAAAATGGGGTGGTAATGGGTGGCTGGGGAGGGAGGGAATGGGGTGGGGGTAATGGTATTGAAGCAATGGGATGGGGTAATGGGATGGGAATGGGGGACTGGAGGGGATAATGGGGTGCGGGTGTTGGAATGGAAGTGATGAGATGGGGGTATTGGGGTGGGAATGCGGGACTGGGGAGGAAGGAACTGGGATGGGGCTAATGGTACGGGGGTGATGGTGTGGGGTATAATAGGGTAGGGGTGATGGGGTGTATAGAGGACTGGGTGAGGGATAATGGGGTGTGGAGTGAAGGAGTAGGGGGAACTGGGGTGGGGGTAATGGGATGGAAGTGATCGGATGGGTGTAATGGGATTGGGGTTATGGAGTGTGAGGCACTGGAGTGCTGGAACTGGGATGGAAGGAACTGGAATGAGGACACTGGGATGGGGGAGAATTGAAGTGGGGGCACTGGGACAGGGGAAACTGGAGTAGGGGAAATGGGAGGCATTGAGGGAACTGGGATGGGAGAAACTGGGATGAGGTCAATGAAATGGGGGCACTGAGATGAAGGGAACGGGGATAAGGGGAAGCCAGATGAGAGCACTGGGATGGGGGTAATGGCACAGGGCGAACTGGGGGGGGGGCGTGAAATGAGTCAGGGTGAACTGAAACTGACAGAAGTGGGAGTACTGGGCAGGGCTGGGGGCACTGAGTGGGGGCACTGAGGGATTGGGGGCACTTGGCAGGGGGCTGCCTCCATTCCCCCCTGCTCCCACAGAGCCCCCGCAGCGGCTGACGGAGCCTGAGGAACCCAAGAAGCCCAAGAAGGACAAAGGGCCCAAACCCACCAAGAAACCCAAAGAGAGAGCCCGGGGCTCCAAGAAGGACAGGGACAGGGACAAGAAGACTGACGGGGAGAAACCCCCCAAGAAACCCAAGGAGAAGCCCCCCAAAGGCTCCGAAAAGCCCCCCAAGGGCTCCAAAAAGCCCAAGGAGAAATCCTCCAAGGAGAAGCCCCCCAAGGAGAAGCCCCCCAAAGAGAAGCCCCCCAAAGAGAAACCCCCCAAGGAGAAGCCCCCCAAGGCCACCAAGAAGCCCCTGGACACGAGGCCACCGCAGCCACCTGACAACCCCTGGAAGCCCCCCACAGCCCCACAGCCCCCGCGGGGTGAGGACGGACCGGGGACATCGCTGTCTGTGGGGCAGCCGTGGGTCCCCGAGGAGAAGGAGGAGGAGGAGGATGGCAGAGACCGAGGTGAGCGGGATGGGGGGCATCAAGGGGCTCTTCTGGGGCAAGGCGCAGTGCCAGCCATGTCCCACCCCAGCACATCACGGCCCTCCTGTGTCCCTGTCCCCAGAAGAGCTGGAGGAGCGGCCAACCCAGCGCTGGGAGTGGGGCCGGGAGGATCGACGCCCTGAGCCTGAGGCAGGTGAGAGCCACCCCGTGCCACCACCTCCCTGCGCCCCGCTGCCGTGTCCCTCATCTCCAGGCCACTTCCCCGCATCCTAATGTCACCCCCCTGACCGCCGTGTCCCACGTCCCCACGTCGCCCTGCAGAGGTCCCCGAGGAGCTGGAGCCGCCGACGCTGGACTACAACGAGCAGTTGGAGCGGGAGGACTATGAGGACTGTACGGTGCTGGGGCTCACGGGGGACCGTGGGGTCCCATCCCCCCACGGCCCCACAATCAGCGTCCCCCTCTGTCCCCAGTCGAGTACATCAGGCGGCAGCAGAAGCCCCGCAAACCCCCAAACAGGAGGAAACCCGACCGGATCTGGCCCCAACCGGAGACGGCACCGCGTCAGTGCGGGGACACGGGGACGGGGCTGACCCCAGGGCTGGGAGTGGGGTGTGGGGCCACCAGGGATGGGGCGGGCATGGGGACATCCCGGTGTGTGGGGTGCAGGGGGCCCCATGGAGGCATGGTGATCCTACAGGGGTCATCAATGGGGACGTGGAGGTCCCTTGAGAACAGAGGGGGTCCCACTTGGGCATTAGGACTCTGTGTGAGGACATGGGGACCTCTAGAGCTATAGGGATGCCATGGGGATGGGTGGGTTCCTGTGTGGAAATGGGGACCCTAAAGGATAAGAGACCCTATAGGTCCAGGGGGACCCTACAGGAGCATGGGGATCCCATGGGACATCCAGATTTCTGCAGAGGCACAGAGACTCCACAGGGGTTACGGGGATCCCATGGGATATGAAATCCCACATGGATATATGGGTTCCTGCAGGGACATGGGGACCCCATAATGGCATGTGAACTCAGCAGTGACATGAGAACCTCATGGGAACTATAAGGATCCCGTAAGGATATGCAGGTTTCTGCAGGGACATGGGGATCCTATAGGGGCTATAGAGGATCCCAAAGGGACATGGAGGAGCCCGTGGGAGTGTAGGGATCTCATGGAGACAGAGGAAACCCTTCAGGGATGTGGGGACCCCATGTGGTAAGGGGGGACCTCACAGTAGCATGAAGACACCGTAGGGACACGTTGACCCTGCAGGGGCATAGGGGACCCCATAGGCACCCCAAACCCTTTGGCCATCCCCAGCCACACCAGAGGAGCCCCCCGCACCGCTGCCCGGCCCCGTGACCGAGCACGACTACGAGGAGGGCTGGGAGCGACCGGACTACGATGACTGTGAGTGACCCCCAGACCCATCCCCTGCTCCCAGGGGGCTCTGTGGGGTTCCAAGGGGCATCCCAGCCCCTCACTCCCATCCCCACCCCATAGTGGACTACGGGCTGCTCCCACCGCCCAAGCCCAAGAAGCAGCCGGAGAAAGAGGAGGAGATGGAGACAGATGAGGAGAAGTTGAAGCCCTGTGAGAGGCAGTGGCACAGCCCTGTCCCCATCTCCATCCCTGTCTGTCCCCTTTTTGTCCCTGTCCCATCCCTGTCCTTGTCCCTGTACCATCTCTATCCCTTTCCCATTCCCACATCTGTCCCCATCCCATCGCTGTTCCCATTCCCATCCCTTATGGCTGCTCTCCCACCAGGGAAGCCCAAGAAGGGCGGCAGCAGCAAGGAGGAGGAGGAGGATCCGTGGGCAGAGGAGAAGGGCCGGGACAGCAAAGGTGGGTGCCCTGAACCCTGCGTCCCCACCCAGCCTGTGCCCCCCTCACTGTGCCCCTTTTCTCTAGGAAAACCCAAAAAGCCAGGTGGGAAGAAATGGGATCCAGATGAGGACGAGTGGGCACAACCAGAGGAGAAGACAAGTGAGTGTTTCCATCCCTGCATTTGGGGCCACTACGCTGCAGTGCCACAGCCTTCCCATCCCCTGTTCCCACAGGGTGCCCTCCCATCGGGATGGAGTCCCATCGTGTGGAGGATGACCAGATCCTGGCCTCTTCCATGCTGCGTCACGGCCTGGGTGCGCAACGCGGCCGCCTCAACATGCAGGTGGGTGTCCATCCCATCCCCATCCCATATCCGCCTTCTCCCCTGTCCCATCCCCATACCTGTCCTGTCCCCATCCCATCCTGTGGGAATACAAGAAAACTATTCAGAGCAGAAGCTATGGAGCAAGATAAAAAGCACCATCCTATCCCATCCCTATCCGTGTTCCCATTCCTGCCCCCATCCCATTCCATCCATATCCTCATCCTCATTGCTATCTCAGTCCCTCATCATCACCCCATTGCTATCTCAATCCCTATCCCGTTCTACCCCATTGGCATCCCATCATCATTACATTGCTATCTTGATCCCCATCTCCATCCCATCGCCATCCCATCATCACCCCATCATTGTCTCGATCCCTTTTCCTATTTCCTTTCCATCCCATCCCACCATCACCTCATCGCTATTTTAGTCCCTATCCCCATTCCCATTTCATCTTATCCCCATTCCCTCATTACCCCATTGCTGTCTTCCCCATCCCCATCCCCATCCCCATTCACATCCCCATCCCCACTTCATCCCCATCCCATCATCACCCCATTGCTATCTCCATCCCCATCCCATCTCCATTCCCATCCCCATCCCTGTCCCCACCTCACCCCACCCGTGTCCCCTTGCTGTCCCCAGGCGGGTCCCAACGAGGACGATTTCTTTGATGGTGCCTGGTGTGCAGAGGACGACAGCCGTGCACACTGGCTGGAGGTGGACACGCGCCGCACCACCAAGTTCACCGGCGTCATCACGCAGGGACGGGACTCCCAGATCCAGTACGGGGCTGGCGGGTGGCGGGGGGCTGCGGGGTGGCACTGCGGGGGTCCCACATTGTCCCCTTCGTCCTTCCTGCAGCGAGGACTTTGTCACCAGCTTCTACGTGGGCTTCAGCAATGACAGTCAGAACTGGGTGATGTACAGCAACGGCTACGAGGAGATGGTACGGGGGGGGCATGGGGTGACATGGGGACACGATGGGGACACGGTGCCACCCCGCTGTGCCCCGTTTCCAGAAGTTCTATGGCAACGTGGACAAGGACACGCCGGTGCTGACCGAGTTCCCTGAGCCCATGGTGGCCCGCTACATCCGCGTGTACCCGCAGACGTGGAACGGCAGCCTGTGCCTGCGGCTGGAGGTGCTGGGCTGTCCCCTCTCCCGTGAGTGGCACCGGGGAGGGGACACGGGGGTGGTGGATCCCGGGACGCCGCGGCCACATCGCTGTCCCTGCAGCTGTCAGCAGTTACTATGCGCAGCAGAACGAGGTGACATCAGCCGACAACTTGGACTTCCGTCACCACAGCTACAAGGACATGAGGCAGGTGGGTTTGACGGCACCGTCCCAGCGATGTCCCCACGCTGCCTCCCAGCGCCTGTCCTCTCCCCCGCAGCTGATGAAGGTGGTGAATGAGGAGTGCCCCACCATCACCCGCATCTACAACATTGGCAAGAGCTCGCGTGGGCTGAAGATCTATGCCATGGAGATCTCTGACAACCCGGGGGAGCACGAGACGGGTGAGGGGGGGATGTGGGGACACTGTGGGTGGCCGTGCCCTGACCTGAGTTCTGCCACTGCCGTACCTCTACCCTGTGCCTTAAGGGAAGCCTCACACTAATCCTGTCCCACTGCAGCAATGGCCAAAGCCTTTCCCTGACATTAACCCTAACCCTACCCTAACCCTACCTATAACCTTAACCCTAACCCTAAGTATAACCTTAACCCTAACCCTAAGTATAACCTTAACCCTAACCCTACCTATAACCTTAACCCTAACCCTACCTATAACCTTAACCCTAACCCTAACTATAACCTTAACCCTAACCCTGACACTAGCCCTAACGCTAACCCTAAATATAATCCTAACCCTAACCGTAAATATAACCCTAACCCTACCCTAACACTAACTCTAACCCTAACTCTAACCCTACCCTAACCCAACTCTACCCTAACCTAACCTTAACCCAAACCCATATCAAAACACTAACCTCAACTCTAATTCTAAACCTAACCATTGTCCTAAACCCAAATGCAACCCTAAAACCAACCATAACTTTCACCCTAGTACCGAACTTTAACCCCAACCTTAACTGTAAACCTAACCCCATGTTGGCCTAATCCACAACTCAACCCTAACTCTAAGCACAAACCCTAACCCTTACCTATGTGCTAACACCAAACCCTTACCCTAATTGCAAACTTTAACCCTAAATATTATCCAAATTTTAAAGCTAACCCTAACCCTAAGCCTGACCCTAAAACTAACTCTAGCCCTAATCTTAACCCTGACCCTAAAACGCTAGCCCTAAAGATAACCCCTACCCTAACCATGACCCTAAATCTACATCTAACCCTCACCCTAGCCCTAAAGCTGACCCTAACCCAACCCTGACCCCAAAGCCAACCCAGGCCCTGATCCTACCGGTGGCTGTGCTGCCCCGCATGCAGTAGGGCTGGGTGTCCTTGCCCCCATCCCCACACACCCCGTACACACGGCTCCCCGCAGGAGAGCCCGAGTTCCGCTACACGGCAGGGCTGCACGGCAACGAGGCGCTGGGCCGCGAGCTGCTGCTGCTGCTGATGCAGTTCTTGTGCAAGGAGTACCAGGATGGCAACCCCCGTGTGCGCAGCCTGGTCACCGAGACACGCATCCACCTCGTGCCAGCGCTCAACCCTGATGGCTACGAGCTGGCACAGGAGGCGGTGAGAGTGGGGAGCTGCAGGTGGTGGCACTGGGGAGGTGGTGGCTTTGGGATGGTGGCACTGGGATGGTGATGGTACTGGAGTGGTGGCACTGGGGTGGTAGCCATGGAACGGTGGCACTGGGATCCTGGCATTGGGATGGTAGCACTCGGATGGTGGCACTGGAGTGGTGACACTGGGTGGTAGCCATGGGATGGTGGTGGCACTGGGATGGTGGCATTGGGATGGTAGCTCTGTAGTGGTGGCACTGGGATGATGGTGGCACTGGGGTGGTAGACATGGGATGGTGGTGGCACTGGGATGGTGACACTGGGATGATGCTGGCATTGGGATGGTGGTGGCACTGCATTGGTAGTACTGGGGTGGTGGCCATGGGATGGTGGTGGAATTGGGGTGGTAGCACTGGGATGGTGGCTGTGGGATGATGCTGGCAGTGGGGTGGTGGCAGTGGGATGGTGGTGGGACTGAGATACTGGCACTGAGATGATGGCACCAGGATGGTATTGGCACTGGGACAGTAGCAATGGGATGCTGGTGGCACTGGTAGGGTGATGGCATTGGGATGGTGGCAATGGGATGGTGGCAATGGGATGGTGGTTGGTACTGAGGTGATGGCATTGGGATGGTGGCAATGGGATGATGGTGGCATCTGGGGAGTGGTAGCATGGTAGCATTGGAATGGTGGCAATGGGATGGTGGTGGCACCAGGGTGGTGGTGGCAATGGGGTGGGAGTTGCACTGGGGTTGTGCCAATAGGGCAGTGGGGGCACTGGGATGGCGGCACGAAGACAGCGGTGTCACGTGGGAAGTGGTGGCACTGGGATGTGGTGGAAATGGGGCAGCGGTGGCACCAGGATGATGGTGGCACTGGGGTGGTGGTGGCACCGGGGCCACCACAGGGCTGTCCCTGCTCCCTCAGGGCTCCGAGCTGGGCAACTGGGCGCTGGGCCACTGGACAGAGGAGGGCTTCGACCTTTTCGAGAACTTCCCTGACCTGACGTCCCCGCTGTGGGCAGCCGAGGAGCGGCAGTTGGTGCCGCACCGCTTCCCCAGCCACCACATCCCCATCCCGGAGCACTACCTGCAGGACGACGCCGCGGTGAGGGCACACCCACCCTGTGAGTGTGGCGCTGGCACAACGGGACGGGTGGCACAGCGTCCCTTCTCCAGGTGGCCGTGGAGACGCGAGCCATCATGGCCTGGATGGAGAAGAACCCCTTTGTGCTGGGAGCCAACCTGCAGGGCGGGGAGAAGTTGGTCTCCTTCCCCTTCGACGCAGCGCGGCCCCACAGCGAGACCCCCGCAGCCCCGCGCCTGCTGGATGAGGATGAGGATGGCGAGCAGCCCGAGGTGCACGAGACGCCCGACCACGCCGTGTTCCGCTGGCTGGCCATCTCCTACGCCTCGGCACACCTCACCATGACAGAGACCTTCCGCGGGGGCTGCCACACACAGGATGTCACGGACGCCATGGGCATCGTGCAGGGGGCCAAGTGGAGGCCCCGCGCCGGCAGTAAGTGGGCATCGAGGTGGAACCCCTTGGACTCATCTTAAGAGACGTTGTCACCTAAGGGATTCCGCTGTGACAATGAGCTGGGGGTGGGGGAGGCGGTGACCTGCAGCACTGATGCCATTGGGATTTTGGCAGGCATGAATGACTTCAGCTACCTGCACACCAACTGCCTGGAGCTCTCCATCTACCTGGGCTGCGACAAGTTCCCCCATGAGAGCGAGCTGCAGCAGGAGTGGGAGAACAATAAAGAGTCACTGCTCACCTTCATGGAGCAGGTAGGCACGGAGAACCGGTGCCAGGAGCTGGTGGTCATCCCCTCGTGCCAAACGTGCTGCCCTCGTCCCCTTTTGTGCAGACCCACCGGGGGATCAAGGGTTTGGTGACGGACCAGCAGGGAGAGCCCCTCGCCAACGCCACCATCGTGGTGAGCGGCATCAAGCACAGCATCAGGACAGGTAGGAGCTGGGGTGGGATGTCAGGGACGTGGCACGGCGATGGCCCCGCAGCCCCTCACCCCCTCGCCACCTACAGCCAGCGGCGGGGACTACTGGCGCATCCTGAACCCGGGCGAGTACCGCGTGTCGGCGCGGGCCGAGGGCTACAACCCCAGCACGAAGACCTGCAGCGTCTTCTACGACATCGGGGCCACGCAGTGCAACTTCGTGCTGGCACGCTCCAACTGGAAGCGCATCCGCGAGATCATGGCCATGAACGGGAACCGGCCCATCCGCCGCGTGGTGCCCGGCCGCCCCATGACGCTCCGCGAGCGCCTGCGGCTGCGCCAGCGCCTGCGGCTCCGGCAGCGGCTCCGCGAGCGGATGAGGCTGCGGCGACTGAACGCCACCGCCAGCACCGCCGGCATCCCCACGGCCCCGCCGCCCAGCACGCTGCTGCCCGTCCCGTTCAGCAGCACCACGAGCGCGCCGTGGAGCCAGGAGCCGCCCACAGCGGGAACCTGGGAGATGGAGACCGAAACGGAGGTGGTGACCGAGCTGGTGACAGTGACAGAGATGTGGGATGTGGGCACGGGGACGGCGCAGCCCTTCACCACTGCAGAGACCTACACCGTGAACTTTGGCGATTAGGGGATGCCCGGCCCCTCGCTCCCGCCTTCAGGTGCTCCATGTGGGCACCATCCCGCGCTCCTGGAGCCCCTGGGCCGGGCAGGCACACAGACACACATCCCCGTGCCCGGGCAGCTAGCGGTGGCACTGCGGCTGGGCATGGAGGAAGCAGGGCAGGGCCCTGGCGTGGTTTTGTTACACAAATAAACAAAGCTGTATTGGTAGCAGCACTGCATTGCTTCTCCCACCGTACAGCGCCAGAGGGGGATGACGTGACGTCTGTGCTGTGCTGTCACTGCCCCACCTCCATGTCACTGTCATCCTCGGCTCCGAAGACGGAGAAGCTGATGGGCTGGCAGCTGAGGTCGCGCAGGTTGATGAGGCAGGCGGTCTGCGTGGCACTAAAGGCTGGCACTGCCACCAGCAGCACCCGCTGCCCATCATCCCCTGCAGGACAGGCAGGCGTCAAACACAAGCAGGGATGGAGATGAGGATGGGAAGCAGCAGGGACTCACCTGTCAGCAGCTTGGACTGGAACTTGGGAGCATTGCCACAGAAGTAGACGTGTGGGCAGTCGGTGAGGATGAAGGGATCCAAGTTGTAGAAGGGGTAGCAGCCTGGAAGAGTAGAGTGAGCTGGGAAACCCAACCCTGCACCCCACTGCGTGGCATGGGACCCCACAGCCCCTTACCCAGCGTGTCGGGGGCTGTGGGGCTGATGTGTCCCACCAGCAGCGTCCACTCCAGGATCTCCAGGTAGTCGTCCATGCTGCTGTACTTGAAGATATCGCTGATATTTTGCCCTGACGTCCCCAAAAACCTGTATTTTGAGGGTGGATCTGTACTCAGTGCAACCTACAGCAGAACCCCACGCCACCAGTGGCATCCCAGCCTTGGTGGCACTCCGTGCCTCACCGGATGCCATCCACGTCAGCCTGGTAGGGGTTGGTGACGAGCTGCAGTGTGGGGTAGGCGCTGGAGAGGGGCAGCATGCAGCGGTGCAGCGGCTGCTGTGGCAGCGTGTAGTTGGTGGGGTCAAACTCTCCAGGCATCACGTCCACAGGCACGGAGCTCTGCAGGCAGAACAGGGCTGTTGGGGGCCTGAGAGGCTGTGGGAGCTGCTCCACCAGCCCAGGCACTCACACAGAGCTGCAGCAGGATCTCATCCAGCATCTTCACCGCCTCCACGCTGGCAGCTTGTGTCTTCTTGGTCAAATACTTGGCCTGCAGCAGTGAGGATGCGGTGAGGAGCACGATCTCTCTCCATACCTCCCTCCCTTCTGCTGGCCCCTCACTTTCACCATACCTTGTGCAGGCTGTCACGGCTCTGTGTGCTCTGGCTCAGGAGGTTCCCAGCCAGCAGGACGCGGGAGATGAGTGCAGCACAGCTCTGCTGGCCCTCAGCACCCAGCTGCCCCGTCACCGCGTCCACCAGCAGCTGTGTGCCCAGCAGGGACTCGCCGCTGCCGCTGCCCAACCCCAGCCCCGAGGCCAGCAGCACGAACCTGGGCACGGGGCAGGCAGAAGACTGCAGCCCCCATTGTGTCCCTCCAGATGGATGGGACGAATGGTCCCCAGGGCCGTATGGAGACACAATGGAGATGTTATAAGGACTCACCTATCAGTGCTGGGTCCCTGCCACAGCAGCTGTGGGGGCAAGTGGGCGAAGCAGTGCTCCTCCACCAGGAACTTCCCGTCCTCCTGCTCGTGGCCATACACAGCCAGCACAGTGCCTGCAGCGGGTAGGGGGGCACTCAGTTTCACCATCACCCTCCGGGCCACCACCACCCCACTGCCGTCCCCTACCTGTCACCAGCCTCGATGCCTCAATGCTCCCCGTCAGCTTGATGCGCTGCAGCTCGTCCTCCAGCACCAGCTCGTCCGACGGGTCCACGTACTTGGCCAGGGGGGGCTGTGGCACCAGGTTGTGCTGGGGGGAACACAACAAGAGCGAGGGTGTGTGGGGTGTGTGGCCTCTGCCGGGGCTGCTCTCCAGCAGGGTGCCGGCGCTGGGCTGCTTTCACTTAGCGTGCCGCCAGCGTGGCGGCCAAGGAGGAAGCAGCAGGGCGGGGGGGTCACCCCTACCTCCTCGTTGATCTCCTGCAGGATGGAGGGCTGCAGCCGCATGGCCTTGAAGAGCGTCCCCACCACGCAGCACCGCTCGCCTGCCTGCAGCTGACACAGCTTCCGCAGCAGCACGCTGTCACCTGCAGGGCCGTGTGGTTCAGACTGTGCCCATTGCTTCTCCCCATCACCACTGCTGCAACTGCTCCCCAAAACGCTCCCCTGGAACTTCAAGGCCTCCGGAGCAAACCCTTCATCCTTATTCAGTGCTGGGAGAGCAGCCATTGAAGGGTGTCCCATGCCTGGGGTCTCCCTCCAGGCTTTGTCACCCCGCTGGGTTTTGGGGTGGGAAGTATGAGGATGAGCAATGCTGCAGTCCCATAGGCAGAACGGGTGAGGGTTTGGCACTGGGATGGGATGAGAGGGGGTAGGTGGGGGCTGGGAACGGCACTAGCAACGCCAGGAATGCGATTGCCTGGCGGCAGGAAGCAGCCTGCTGAGCTGAGCACTCCTTCCCAGCTCCAACCCCCGCTCTGTGTGCCTGGGGGGCAGCTCGGCGTTCCAAAAAAGAAAACCAGATCCCAGAAATGTGCTGCACGCCGTGGGACAGCGGGACAGCACGTGGGGGGTCCCCTCAGAGAGAAAGGAAAAGTGGGGAGCAGCGAGGGGCTGAGGGGTGTCAACGAGGGTGAGGGGCACAGGGGGGGCTCACCCCATCGGAGCCGTGCCTGCTGCTCCAGGCGGGGCCGCATGCACAGCAGCCGTGTGGCGTAGAGGTGCGCGTACTGCCGGCCAAAGCTGCGCTCCCCCAGGCGAAAGGGCTGCGAGCGGTCGGCAAAGTCGCTACCGGCACGGGCAAAGGTGGGGGGCTCGGCCGAGGGGGGGCCCAGCAGGGTGTGCCCCGATGGGGGGGTGACCTCTGAGAACATGGCTGCAGGGCTGCAAGGTGAAGGGGAGCGTGAGGAACCCCAAAATGTGCCCCAAATGCACACGACGTCTCCTGAACGTTGCTCCCCATCACTCTGTGGCACCTGAAGGACCCCAAACGCCCCCCCACAAATAACGCCATGGTACCTGAATGCCCCCCTGGCACCTGAACCCTCCCCAGAAAGCTCCCCCAAATCACACCCTGGCACCTAAAGCCCCCGAAGATGCTCCTTAACTTGCTGCCTGGCATCTGAAATCCCCAAACTGCCCCTCCGGTCAATCCCTGGCACTGTCCCCCTCCCCCCCCCATCACTCCCTGGTGCTCAAATGCCCCCAAGGCCCCTCAGTATCAGTATCACTCCCTGGCAGATGAAGCCCCTCAAAACACCCCTTAAGCTCTCTGGCAACTGAAATCCCCCCAAAGTGCCCCCAAAATCCCTCCATGGCACCTAATAACCCCCAGACCCCCAGCTCACTCCCTGGTATCTGCACCAGCTCAGATGATCCCCCCCCATCGATCCGCACCGCCTGAAGCCCCCGGGCTGCCCCTCAAATCACCCCCTGGCAACCTGACCCCCCCCAGATCACCCCCCGTACCCGAACCCCCCCCAGAGGACCCCCCCAGCCGCTCAGTGCCACCTACAGCCCGCAGTTCCCCCAGCTCTCTCCCCGGCCCCTGAACCCCCGGAATCCCCCCGGTACCCGAATTCCTTCCCCCCCACCCCCCATCCCCGGCACACAAAGGCCCCCAAACACCCCTACAGCCCCCCGAACACAACCCGGGACCCCCACCAGCCACCCCGGGCTCCCGCTGCGACCCTCCCCCGCGGTGACGTACGGGGTCAGAGGTCAGAGGTCACGGGGGCGCCGCCGCCGCATCCACGCGGCGCGGAGGGCATCGGGGGTGCGGGGGGGGGGACACGGAATGGCGCGAACTCGGGAGCGGAAGTGGCGTGACCGCGGGGCGGAAGTGGCGTCAGAGCGGCGCGGCGCCATGGTAACCGCGGGGGCCGCGGGGGCGCTGTTGCCATGGTAACGGTGGGGCCCGGCCTGCATCCCGCGGATCCGCCGGGCCCTGCGGAGCGCAGCCGAGCCCCGCGCGTCCCGTCCGCCCCGGGGGATGAGCGCCGTCCCGTGTGACCCGAGCCCCGCGTGGGGCCTGCGGGCAGAGCGGCATCGCCCCGCACCGCTGCGTCCGCGGGGCCGCGCGGCGAGCAGGGCCCGGTGTGCCCCCCTCCCTCCCCTCTTCCTGCCGCGGTGACGCTCGGGGCGGAGGTGTGGGGCGGAGGTGTGGGGCAGAGAATCGGTCCCTCTCCATTTTAAGGCCTCGTTGGGTTTTCTCCACGCTGAGTGGCTCAGCCGTCCCCACCGCGCGGCCGCGGGGGCTATAAAGGCACGGGGTGGGACGCGGGGCTGCAACCTGCGCTAAGGGACGGCATGGCTGCTGCTCTCATCGTGCTGCTGGCCCTCGGGGCTGGTATGGGGCTGCGGGCCTGGGGACGGCACCTGGGGGTGGGGGGCTGAGGGATACGTGGGGAAAATGTGGGGATGCGAACATGGCGTCATGGGGTCAGGGTCCAACATGGGGACATGGAGAGAGCGGAGATGGGAGCATGGGGAGGGGGTCTGCGTGGGGATTGGGGACAGCAATGTGCAACGGGGTCAGGAGCACATGGGGGTAGGGTGTGGGTACTGGGGACACCCAGGCCACACAGGGATGTCAGTGACCACTGTGAGCCCCAGCCCACCGTGGGGTGGCTATGGGGCAGCGTGGTGACACCCTGTACCTCCAGCCGTGCAGGTGGCAGTGACTGAGCTGCCCCGTGATGAGGACCAGGACGTGGCTGCTGGGAGCCGCTGGGAGCAGCCATGGCACCTGCTGGGGGACAGCTCAGCTGCGGTGAGGATGCACCCTGGCCATGGGGCACACTGTGGGACAGCCCCACACTGAGTTGGGGCACGGGGTGGGAGGGTGGGTGGCAGCACTCTGAGGGTCTGTGTTGTCCACACAGTGGGACGCAGATGAAGGGGACGCAATGGGACCAGGCAAAGGGCTTAAATGCAAAGCCTGCGTCGGTCTGGTGAAGAAGCTGCAGAAGATTGTAGGTGATGACCCAGACGAGGTGAGTGGGGTGTGGGGGATCCTGGTGGGCTCGGGGGGCCCAATGGCTGCAGCCCCACTGACACCATGGGGCCGGGACCCACAGGAGGCCATCAACACAGCGCTGGACAAGATGTGCAGTACAGGGAAACGCCAGAAGAGTATCTGCAGGCTGCTGGTGAAGAAGCTCCGGCAGCAGCTCAGTGATGCGCTGCAAGACGACGACGATCCCCGCTCTGTGTGCACCACCCTGGGGATGTGCAAGGGCTGAACGCGGCCAGAGCCCACATCCTGTGCCCCACATCCTGTGCCAGAGCCACGCATCCTGTGAGCAGACCCCACATCCTGCATGCAGACCCCAAAACGCAGACCCACAGCCCCGTCCCAGCCTTCCTCCCACTCCCTGTTCCCATGCAATAAAGCCGCTCACCTCTGCCATCACCCCTTTGATTTGGATTTTATTTGGCTGTGGGGGCTCTGGGGACGAGGGGCTGACATGTGGGGACCTCAGTGATGGGCTGTGGGGGGCAGGTGCACAGCGAGTTTGGGGATGGGGTCCCTGTGGGGACATGGGGATGTGGGGGTGGTGTGGTGATGGAGGGGACACAGTGATGGGGGCCAGGCTGAGCCCAGCGGATCCTGTCCTGTTGCTCCCAGCCAATCAGAGCACAGGAGACACTTTTTTTGGCCACAGCTCATGAGAGCACAGGAGATGCTGCAGCTGACAGCATCGATCAGAGCATGGGCTCCCATGGCAGGGGCTGTCTGCTCCTCCCCAGACCCCAGGGTGCTCCCAGATGACCCGTGCCCCTGGGAGGTCCCCATATACTGGGGTGCCAGTGGCAGCCCCAAATCCCCAGAGATTCCCCAGCCTCATGGGGCTCCATCCGCATGTGTTACCCCACAGAGATCCTGCACCACAGGGAGCCCGTCTCCTGTGGGACACCCAAAGTGCCTTCATAACTCCTGTGGGATCACCAGACTGGGGGCCCCCAGTTTTTAGCCCCAAGAATGATTGCTCCAAGCTCCACACGGCGGCAAGAAGTGGCACATGTCACCACGGGGCTGTCACCACCAGAACCAAGCAGGTTGGGGATGCTGGCTTCCACTGCTTGGGACCCCTGGGCTGGGGGGCCGTCAGGTTTGGGGTCACAGGGTGCTGCCCCACGGGTGGGGCCACGGCTCCCCCAGCGCTCCATCCTTGTCCCCACAATGGCCCGGGGGTCTCGGGGAGGGGACACCGGAGGGCGGCCATACAGAGCAACGCTGGGACAGCGTTCCCAGAGAAGTCCACGCTGACCCCGTTTATTGGGGAGCCCCGGCACCGTCCCGGCGCCATCCGAGCCCTTCCCACATCAGTCCCGGCTCCTCAGCGCGTCCCTGCCGCCCAGTCCGGCTCACTGCCCCATCATGCACGCCATCTTGCAGGCCACGGCCGAGATGAGCGCAGCCCCGCGCCCGCTGCCCTCCTCCGACTGGATGAAGGTGATGTCGCAGCCGGGAGTCAGCTGTCGTACGGTGGCGTGGAAACGGTCCTTGAAGCTGTGGGGGGAGGAAGAAGGTTTGGGGTAGGGGTGGGAGTAGGGTTAGGGTTAGGGCTAGGGTTACTGATATGGCTAGGGTTAGGGCTAGGTTTAGGATTAGGATTACAGTTAGGATTAGGGTTATGGTTAGGGTTAGGGTTGTGATTAGGATTATGGTTATGCTTATGGGTAGGGTTAGGCTAGGGTTGTGATTAGGGTTATGATTAGGGTTAGGGTTAGATTTAGGTTTAGGATTAGGGTTATGATTAGGGTTACTGGTATTGCTAAGGTTAGGGTTAGGGATAGGATTAGGGTTACTAATATGATTAGGGTTAGGGTTAGGATAGGGTTAGGGTTATGGTCAGGATGATGGCTAGAATTGGGATTGTGGTTTTGGGATCATGGCTGCTTAGGACTGTAGCTATGGCTACGGTTAGTGTTATGTCTCAAGTTAGGGTTATGGATAGAGTTCGGTCAAGGTTAGGGTTAGGAGGAGAAAATGGAGCATCAGGGCGACGGGAAAGGGGAGGATGGAGGTTGGGAGGGGATGACACCTCCTCACCTGGGGTGCAGCTTGTAGACAGAGCCGTCCACCCCCACGGTGATCTTGAGGGTCTCCTGGCTGCGGCTCTCCCGCATGCGGTTGATGACGCCGGCCAGCCCTGCTGAGCACATCTGGGCAGCCCGCGTGGACACGCTCTCGCACACCATGCGCACGATGTCGCAGTCCGACCCCGAGGGCAGCAGCCCAAAGGCTGTGAGGATGTTGTAGATCTGCTTGCGGTCGCCTGAGTCGCTGCGGTGGGACAGAGCCGTGTGCAGAACGGGGGATGGCCATGGGGTGGCGGGGGGCACCAAAGTGGCGTGATGGGACTGGGAATCCAACTCGGGGCAGCTACGGAGGGCTGGTGTGGGCTGATGGGGCAGGGAACCCCAATGGGGACAGCTGTAGAGGGTTGTCATGGGGTGATGGCACAGGGAACCTCCATGGGGATAGTTCTGGAGGGCTGGCATGGGATAAGAGAAAAGGGGGTCCCAAATTGAAGCAATGGGATAGGGAACTCCAACCTAGTTCAGTAGGATAGAGGACTCCAACGTGGGCAGCTATAGAGGGTTGATGTGGGGTGATGAGATGGGGGCTCCCAATTTGAGACAGCCATTAGAGTGAGTCGGGGTGATGGCAAAGCAGACCCTGATGTAGGACGCTGGTGTGGGGAGATGGGGCTGGGGATCCTGATGTCCAGTCTGAGGCAACAAGGCAGGGAACCCCAGTATGGGGCAGCAGTAGAAGGTTGCCAAGGGATGATGGCACAGGGGCCTCAATAAGGGACAGTCAGAGACAGCTGCTGTAGGGTGATGGTACAGGGACCCCTGTGTGGGACAATCTGGTGTGGAGGGATGGGGGAGGGGACCCCAAAGTGAGGCAATGGGATAAGACAACAAAGTGAGATCATCAATGGATGTGGAACTCCAGTGTAGGGCAGTTGTAGAGGGCTGGTGTGGGGTGATGGGACACGACCCCAGTGTGGGACACTGGTGTGGGGAGATGGAGCAGGGGACCCCAGTGTGGGACACAGGATAGAGTAATGGGGCAGGGGAGCTCAGTGTCTATTGTGAGGAAATGAGTTGGGGAACCCCAATACAGGGCAGCAGTAGAATGCTGTCATGGGGTAATGGGATGGGGGTCCCCAGTGTGGGGCAGTGGGACAGGGGAGCCACATGTGGGGCTGTTCTGGAAGGCTGCCATGGGATGATGGGGCAGGGGATCTCAGTGAGGGAGACAGATTGGTGTGGGGAGATGGGGCAAGGGACCCCAGGGTTGAGAAATGACTTGGGAACCCAATATGGGGCAGCTGCAGATTGTTGCCATGGAGCGATGGGACAGAGGACCCCGCATGGGACAGTCGGGGTGAGGGGACGGGGACCTTAAGGCAGGGTGAGGGGACGGGGAGCACCCACCGACACGAGGGACCCCATGGCCGCCCCATACCTCTCCACCTGCGACACGAAGCGCGTCTCGAAGGCCCCACGCGTCTTGAGCTTCTCGCAGGCCTGCCCGCTGAACAGCAGGTTCTCATCCACCAGCCGCAGCAGCACCAGCCGCACGATCTCCCCCATGTATTTGCCCCCAATGATTTTCTCGTAGCTGGGGACGGCGCACGTCAGGGCCCCACTGCCCCCACCCCACATGTTCCATATGGGGAAGGAGCCACCGCTGCCCCACTCCTTACAGCTGCTGACCGGGGTTAAGCGAGGTCTCGTCCACCACGCGGTCGTACTCCAGCAGGAACTCGTCCAGCTCCCCCGACGCCCCAAATGCTCCCCACTCCGTGTTCACACACATGCGGCCCTCGTCGCCCTCCACCAGCTCCACGTTGTGCATCTCCTCCATGTAGCAGGCGTTGCAGCCCGTCCCTGTGGGGGTGGGGGGCAGCTTTGGGGTCTGGTGCCACCCCGTGCTCCCCGGCGTCCCCCCGCTGTGACCCCACGGCCCCTTACCCACGATCATGCCGACCTCGCAGCGGTGGTCCTCGTAGTAGCAGGAGATCATGGTGGCAACGGTGTCGTTCACCATGGCCACCACATCCATCTCAAAGTCCTGCCAGGAAGGACACGGGGTGACGTGGGCATAGGATGGGGACACGTGGTTACAGGGGTACAGGACGGGAACACACAGTGAGGGTGGGCATGGGATGGGGACACACGTGGTGACCGCAGACCCAGCATGGGGACACACACGATGACAGTGGGTCCCAGGTGAGGACGCACACGGTGACAGCGGGGCCGGGGGGGACGGCTCACCCCGCGCCGTTTGATGGCGTCCCGCAGCAGCCCCACCACGTTGTTCCCCTCTGCTCCCGAGGCCTTGAAGCCCTTGGTCCAGTTCAGCAGGATGCCCTGGGGGGCACGGAGCGTGGGTGGGGGTCGCAGCGGCTCTGTGTCCCCCCGCCCTGCCGTCCCCTCACCTTGTCGATGTCCTCGTGCCGCACGGGGAAGGAGAAGGTGAAGCCCAGGGGCAGTTTTTTGTGCTTCATCTGGTGCTTGTCCAGGAAGTCAGAGATGCACTCCGAGATGTAGTCGAAGAGCTGGGGACGGCAGGAGGGATGTTACCACAGTGTCCCCATCCCTGGTGCTGCTGTGGCCCCATCACCCCATCCCCAGCACCACCATACCCACACTGCTCCATCCCCGGTGCTGCCACAGCCCTGCCATCATCACCAGCACTGTGGTCCCCACTGACCTGCCTCAGAGCCTCCATGTCCCAGTCACCTCATCCCCAGTGCCACCACATCCCTGCCACTCCATCCCCAGTGCCAACACGTCCCAGTATCCTCATTCCCAGCATCACCATGTCCCCATCACCCCACCCCCACTGCTACCACGACCCCCATCATCCCATCTCCAGCGCCACTATGTCCCAGCCACCCTGTCTATCCTGAGCATCCCAAGTCCATACCACCCCAATCCCAAGAGCCACCATGTCCCCATCACCCCATCCCTAGAGCCACACTGTCCCCAGGCTGGACACCACAGGGGGACACCTCTCCTCCATCAGCAGTGAGGACCCCCTAGACCCCCGCTCACCATCTCAGCCGTCCCCGTCATGGCATCCTCAGGGATGGAGTACATCTGGTGCTTCGTCTTCACCTTCCACTGCCCCTCCTCACCCTCGCCCACCTTCACCAGCATCACACGGAAGTTGGTGCCGCCCAGGTCCAGCGAGAGGAAATCCCCGACCTCTGCAGCGCAGCGTGGACACGTGGGGCACCTCGTGGCCATGTTCCCACAGCCCAGGGTGGGCGCAGCCCCACGGCTCCTTACCCGACCCCTCCGGCGTGGAGCGCACGTAGGTGGGCAGCATTTTGACCGACGCCTCCTCGTGCGTCTCCAGCTTCAGCCCGCGGTCCATCTCCTTCTGCATGCGGTGCATCACCTTCCGCAGGTCCTCCTCCTTGAGACGGAACTCCGACAGGATCTGCTCCACCTGCGGGGTTTCCTGGGGCCGTGGGACCCCCGGCAGCGAGCGCCGAGGACCCCAACCCCCCTTCCCCCTCGCTGCCATCCCTGCTGTTTTCCTCCCTGCCGTGCCGCAGCCCTGCAGCCAGCTGTGCTCACTGCATTTAGGCCTCATTAGTCAGCGGGCCCAGGCTGCGAGCGCCGGGGCTGTTTTCCTGTGGCTGCTGCTTTGCAAAGGGGCGAACCAATGGAGCCTTTGGGGTGACTCCAATGGAACCTTCAGTGCGATCCCAACGGAATCCTTGGGGTGACCCCAACAGAGCCTTCAATTCAATCCCAAGGGAGTCTTCAGGGTGACCCCAACAGAAACTTCAGGGTGACTCCAATGGAGCCCTTGAGATGGCCCCAACAGAGCCTTCAGGGTGACCCCCATAGCACCTTTGGGGTGATCTCAACGGAGCCTTCAGGGTGACCCCAACGGAACCCTTGAGGTGACCCCAATGGAGCCTTCAATGCGATCCCAAGGGAGTCTTCAGGGTGACCCCAACAGCGCCTTTGAGGTGACCTCAACGGGGCCTAAAGGGTGACCCCAATGGCACCTTTGTGGTGACACAGAGCCACCCCACACTGCTGGGCACTGCTCCTCACTGAATCCTCCCCCATCCCTCCATGCCCATCCCAGCACAGACACCTGATGCCCTATGAGTCTAACTTCAGGGTCACAGCCCCCAGCCCCCCCATGGGGACACAGCACTGTGGTCTCGGGGTTAGGATCACCACAAGGAGAAGCACAGCTGATGGCACCCCATGTGCAGCCCCCTGCCCTCCTGCTCCCCTCTCCCCACGGTGCTGACCCCACAGCTCTCTGCTCCCTAATGGGGGCTTAGCTATGCATTCGGGTCTGCCTTTTCCCACCCAACACCAGAGCAGGGTGCAGAGTCCCGCTGGGCTCTTCCTGGGGCCAAAGCCCACGTGCCCCACGCAACGCCCGGCGCTCAGCACCCACAGCCCAACCTCCCAGCACCTCAGCCCCATTGCACGGCCACAAGCGGGCCAGGCCATAGGGCCACGGGGTATGGGGCCACAGGGCTATGAGGCCATGGTGTGAGGGTATGGGGTTACGGTGTATGGGGCTATAAGGCCATGGTGTTGGAGCTCACCTTCTCCTGCCGCCAGCTCTCCATCCTGCTCCTGTGGTCCAACATGGGGGCAGCCGTTGGTGCGGGCCGGACAACGCTGTCCCCCCGCGCCCCCCCGTGTGCCCCCCGCCCGGATCTCCGCCCTTAGCTCATGGGGTGTCCCTGGTCCCCCCCACAGCCGTCCCGTCAGGAGGGCTCGAGCCCGGCTCCCCACATCCCGGGGCGGCCCTCGGGGTGCGGGGTGCCCGCAGGCCCTCCTCCTGCTCTGCCTGCTGCCCCGTGGGGCGGTGGGAAGGCCGTGGGCGCCCGGCGGAGCGGTGCAGCCCATCAGCGGGCGGCAGTTGTCATACCAACCACTCCGTGTCCTGGTCACCACCGCCAGCTCTCCAGCGGTCCCATGGAGACGGGGACCGCGGCTCCGTGACAAAGGTGACAGTGCGCCGGCCGCCAGCCCCACAGCGCCGGGGGGAGCCCCACGTGGGGCCCAACCAGCATCACCCCCCAGGATGACCCCGTAGCGCCGGCCCTGTAGCGCAGGGCCTGCCCCACGGGGGGGTGAAGCTGTGGGGTCGTGAGAGGAGGTAACACCGGGGGGCTGCCCCACAGGGGGGCCATTCTGTGGGGTGAGGCTGCCCCATGGGGCCGACCCCACATCAGAAGCCCCGCCCAACGCGGAGCCCCCGCCCACAGAAAGGCCCCGCCCACGCGCGAGGCTCCACCCACACGTGCATCATAGGTGCGCCCCGCCCCACCTCGGAAGCCCCGCCCACACCGTAGACCACGCCCACCCACGCGGACACGCCCTCGTTGGCCACGCCCCCCACACAGACGGCGCCCTCAATCGGTTTCCCGCCCGCACTGAAGGCCCCGCCCACCAGTGAAGCCCAGCCTCCAGACCAGACCACGCCCACAAAAGAGGCCCCGCCCTTCACCCACCACGCCCGCTGGCAGCCATGACGTCAGTGCGACGCTGATTGGCTCTCCCCGCTCCAATGAGGCGGGTGGGCGGGGTCGGGCATCCTGCAGCACTCTCATTGGCTGAAAGACGGAAGGAGGGCGGGGCGATGGTGGCGCCTGCGCAGGGCAGGTGAGGCCCCGTGGCAGTGACCGGCGTTGGGGTCACTTCCGGTCGCCGTCTTTCTGCTTCCGGGTCGGGATCACTCCCCTCCGCCGTCGCTTAGGAGCAGCCCGCAGCACCGGTACCGGGTGGGGGGGGCCAGGGCCGCGGGGCGGGGCCTGGCAGGGCCGCGGGGGGCCGGGGAACAGCGGGGCAGAGGCAGCGGGGCCGCGCCGGCAGCGGTGATGGGAGCCGGGGGACGTGGGGTCTCGGTGGGTCCCGGTGTGGTTCTGTTGTGTCCGCTGGAGTTTTAGTGGGCTCCCACTGGGGTCCTGGGGGATCCTGGTGGGGTCCCGGTGGGTCTCGGTGAGGTCGCAGTGCTTCCCGTTGGGCTCTAATGGATTCCTGGAGGGGTTCTGGGGCGTTCCTGGTGGAGGCAGTGCAGTACTGGTGGGGCTCCAGTGGGGTCCTTATGGCTGCTGGTGATTCCCGTTGGGGTCTGAAGGAGCTCGGTGGGTTCCTGGTGGGGTCCCGACGGTGTCAGAACCAGACCAGTACAGTCTGGTGCACCCAGTGGAATCCCAGTGTGTCCCGGTGTCGAGCTGGTGTGCCCGGTGGGGTCGTGGTGGTTCCCATTGGGGTGTTGGTGGGTCCTAATGAAGTCCCCAGTTGTCCAGGTGGGGTCTCAGTGGTTCCCATTGGGGTCCTGGGTGGAGTCCTGGTGGGTCCTGGTGCACCTAGTGAGGTCTCAATGGCTGCTGGTGGGATTCTGGCGGTTCCTGTTGAAGTCCAGGTGTGCTCAGTGAGGTCCTGGTGGAGTCCAACATTCTTGGTCCCTATGGGGTCCCCGTTGGGTCCAGTGTGTCCAATAGCGTCTCAGTGGGTCCCAGTGTCATCTTGGTGTGTCCGTGAGGTTTCCTCGTGTCCCCATGGGTTTCTGGTATGGTCCCATTGTACCCAGTGGTCCTAGCATGGTGCTGGTGGGGTCCCCGTGGTCCCCTTGCCCACAGGACGCCGCTCAGCGCCCCGCTCTGCCCACAGCGCCCGCCATGAGGCTGTACAGCCTGAGCGTGCTGTACAAGGGCGAGGCCCGCGTGCAGCTGCTGAAGGCCGCCTCTGATGTCTCCACCTTCAACTTCTTCCAGCGGTCCAGGTGAGCCCCCGACCCTCCCTGCGTCCCCAGGGCGTGTGGGGCTGTGTTCTGCTCCCACCCGGGAGGCACTGCCATCTCATTACATCTCACTGTCATCTAATTACAACCCTGCTCCTGTCTCCCTGCTGGGCGCTGCCCGCTCAGGACTGGCCGGTTCAGCCCGGAGTTTGGGAGAGCTCTGTGGGATGGGGCGGGAGATGGTGCTGAGCTGCTGGGCTGCGGGGAGGCACTCGCCCACAGTGCTCCAATTCCCAGCCCTGTCTACACTGAGGGTTTGTTGGAGCCTCTGGCATGTCTGGTTCTGCAATTGCAGCAATAAAGGGAAATGCTTTTAAGTAAAACCATCTTAAAAAAACATTCCTTTGGCCAAATAAGTGAGGGGAAAGGGGGAGTTGGGACAGCCCAGCCAACATGTACTTGAAGGCAGATTGCATGTGGTGAAGTAATCTGCAGACCCCCACTGCTGCCTTATCGTGGCTCTTCTTTGCCAAACGCAGACATTTGCTGCAGAAGGGCTGTGCCTGTGCTGGGGGAAGCGCCCTGAGAAATCCCAGCACAAAACCCACCGGTTTCTCAGTGGGGCTCTGGGAGGGGAAGAGGGGCCATGAGGATGGGCCGGGGCTAGCCTGTGCCCCACAGCCCTGTGGGGCCACGCTCCTGGGTCAGAGGATCGGTGAGAGCCGGCGTTTTGTGCTCACAGCGTGCAGGAATTCATGACCTTCACCAGCCAGCTGATCGTGGAGCGCTCGGAGCTGGGCAGCAGGGCCTCGGTCAAGGAGCAAGGTGAGTGCCCTGCCCCCAGTCAAGCCACACCTCCCTTCCCTATGCTGGGCAGGCGGTCTGGGGGCAGAGCGGGGTCCAGCCCTAAAGCCCTCCCTACACTATGGGGCTGAGCTCCCCCTTTGAGCACTGAGGGCTCTGGACCCACCCCGACCCCCTCTCTCTGCCCAGACTACCTGTGCCACGTGTACGTGCGCAGTGACGGGCTGGCCGGCGTGGTGATCGCCGACAACGAATACCCGTCACGGGTGTGCTTCACTTTGCTGGACAAGGTGAGCGGTGTGGGGCGGGACTTGTGGGTCACCTCCGGGGCCTTCCTGTGGGTCTACCAGCTCTGTGCTGGGGGAATAAACCCTGCTCCCTCACACGCAGGTCCTGGAGGAATTCTCCAGGCAGGTGAGCAGGGCAGACTGGCCCTCGGGGTCTCCTGACACCATCAGCTATGCAGCTCTTGATGGATACCTCAGCAAATACCAGGTATGGGGCCTGGGGTTCCCGGGGTGCTGTGCGTGTTGCTGCTGCACTGACGCTGCTGTGTCTCCTCTCCCAGAATCCCCGTGATGCCGACCCAATGACCAGAGTGCAGGCAGAGCTGGATGAGACCAAAATAATCCTGGTGAGGCTGGCAGTGGCTGCCCATCCCTGCTCCCCTCTGCTCCGTCATGGGAGCTCCGTGCCATCAGCACCACTTTCTTTTGGTAGCACAACACTATGGAGTCGCTGCTGGAGCGAGGGGAGAAGCTGGATGATCTGGTGTCCAAATCAGAGGTGCTTGGGGTGCAGTCCAAAGCCTTCTACAAGACTGTGAGTGTGGTTTGCTTTGCCAGGGGGGGTTCCCTGTGAGCTGTGGGATGGGCACGAGGGGAGTGTGAGGAGCTCAGCTTCCCAATCCTGACTGTGGAGCTCCTCAAGCTCTCCAAAAGAGCCGAACCTCGCTGCTGCGGTTTTGGACGGTGGCCACGAGCTGAGCTGTAGGGTTGAGGTTACCCCACGGCTGGGCAGTGAGCTCACCCCATTTCCTCCACCCTTTGCAGGCCCGAAAGCAGAACTCATGCTGTGAGATTATGTGACCCGGAGCCGGGGGTCTCCTGCTCCGCCTCACCGGGGCCTTCGCTCCCATTCGGATCTCGGCCGCTCCCAGGACTGAAAGCAGAACCCCGCGGGCTCCTGGGCCGTGCTGCAGCCTTACCCAAAAACTGGTCTTAGTGGCCCCTGTGCCGGGGGAGCGCCAGGAACGCGCCGTGCCCTGCCATAACTCTGTCACACCAGCGAGTGCCTCGGCTGTGGGATGGGGAGAGAGGAGCTGGGCCCCCCCGCAGGGCCTGGGGCTGTGTGGGGTGCGGGAGGGCTTTTATGGGGCAGCTGCAGGGGGTGGGAGGGGAGGGAGGGGAGATGGGTTTCTCTGGTCTGTTGCGGGCAGGGGGCTCCGCGCTGCATTCTGCTCCCTTCCTCCAGCAGAACCAGGGGCCGGGGGGCAGGGAGGCATTGAGGGGACATGGCACTGCACGGGAACCCCTGCACCTGTGGCACTGGTGGGGGCTGTTACCTTTGGGATGGGTCCAAGCCCCCACTTACTGCCTGTCCCCTGGGGCCTGGGGAACCAGCAGGGACGGGCGTGGGGCTCCCCACTCCCTGCCCCATGGCAGCCAGGGGTGTCTCAGCCTCCAGCCCCACTCCTTGGGAAGGGCAAAGCTTTCGCTCGGGACTGTAGTGTGATCGGTGTTGCCTGTTGTTTCCGTGCTGGCTGATAAAGTTGCCTTTGATGGTTGTAGTTCAGCTCTGCTTGGGGGTCTGGGGCTGGGATGTGAGGCTGGGGGTGTGTGGGGCTGAACCGGGGGGTGGCCCCATAGGAAAGCGCTGGGCAGCACTGTGCAGTCGCTCCACATCATCCATCGGGATTTTCTTTTCATCAGTTGTTTTTCCTCATAATTTATTTGCAGTTTTTCCCAAGACAAAAACGAAATCAGTCATCTTTTACACTTACAAGGCTCAGAAAGAAAAGACGAAGGGGTCCGAGGAGGGAAGAGGGAAATGCTGGGGGGGGGG